GTAAACCAGTTGTTAAGTGAATCTGGCTTCCCCATTGACTTTGCTTGTCAGAAGATCACAAAAAGTGATCGCACAACCTTGCAACGTAGCAATGGTCATAAATATGAACCATCGCCAAGCATCTGAATTTTGATCGCATGATCACGGGGATGCTGGAAAGGTTGTAACTGTGAAAAACGGTCGTAAGTTACTTTTTCCAGTGCCATTGTAACTTTGAATGGTCACTAAATGGACTGTTGTAAGTTGAGGACTACCTGTAGTGTAAAAAATGGAAGCACTGCACCCAATTCAAGCCAAGGGACGATTGAAATGTATGTTGGCTATGTAATTATATAGCTGAGTACATTTTCATGATCAGTTGCATTCCTTTTAATACCTAGCCAGCATTAAGATAAGACTTATTTGTGGCAATTATCACTTTGCAAATACTTATTAAGTAAGGAAAAGTTACAGTAACATTTCTGCAGTTAGGTATGGAGTGAATTTTATGAATGACAGCGAAGTCAGTGCTAGAGCTGCAGCTAATTTAGGTCCGTAAATGCATTCCTAACGTATTAAGACACTGTAGCCATGGCTTTAGATCGAATTGCTACCCTTAAGGCATCTACTGCAGACATAATCTCTGCATTCTCTGATTTGACACTAGAGCTGCAAATGAAGGATCACTCTGCAAAGACAGACTTGTTTAAAAGGGAAGCTATGACACAGGATATATCAGTTATTTGGAGAGATTCTGGCTATAGTAAGGGGAATAGTTAAACCATTTGTCTCTATCATTGGTCTCTTTCATTCTCCGGGTTAACAGTGGGGTAAAAAAAAACCACTAGAATCAGCAGAAAACAACAACTGAATTAGCTGAGAAGTAGCTCATTTTGGCTATTCTGATTTTTTTTTAAGAAGTTAAATCCAAAGTGTCACTACTTCCTCAACAGCAACCAATGATAAAAATATAAAAATAGAACTTCTGCCTTTTAGTGGAACAGGTAGTCCTCAATTTACGACCATAATTTTTCCCAAATACAATCACTCTGCTTAACAACTCATTCCCACAATACTGCGAAATTATTTACTAAGACTGTATCACTATTCTTCTCTTCCTTCCTAGTATCTATCTCTTCCCACTTATGATTATAACTATGTTGCTTGTATTGTTTATTTGTTTATTAGTACGATTTGATAGCTTATTGGTAACCTTGACTATCACTAAGTGTTGCATCTTTTTATTCTGGATGAATGTATTTTATTCTCTTTATGTACCCTGAGAGCATTTGTACCAAAGACAAATTCAATCAATAGCAATAGCAGTTAGACTTATATACCGCTTCATAGGGCTTTCAGCCCTCTCTAAGCGGTTTACAGAGTCAGCTGTTAACCATTGAGCTACAGGGC